TTGAAATTAGTTTTCTACATCCTTTTGGATGTTAGTATGACGTTTTGGTCTCGAGAATTCCGAATGACAGTATGCAAGGCTAAGCACTCGACTATCGCTTGTATTGCCTTCTATTGCTCAGCCTTGAAAAAAAATCCTTCTTTATAATGCGAATACAAAGCCCTGATATATTTCCTTGCAGTTTAGCCCATTCCTGGTCAATGAGGTATTGCATTTTAATTTAGTTTTTAAGACTTGATAACTTATTATGAGACTTACAGAAAAAAAAAAACAAATTATTAATCAAATTATTTCACCTATTATTAATTATTAATAATTAGACCTGATGCTTTTTAAAAAGACTCACATCGACCATCTTGTGACAGAGACCTTGGTATAAGAGGATGATATGGGATGAAATTTCAAACCATTGGATTTTGTAAAGGTCGCAAAAACAGCTGGTATGATGAGGACTGCCGCATTGCAGTGGGGAGAAAACAGACTGCCTACCTCGTAATCTTGCGATCGACCACAACAAGAGCGGGGCAGGATAGATACCGAGAGCTGAAGAGGTATGCAAGACGCATTTGCAGACAAAAAAATAATGAAGTCGAGATGCGTGAGTATGAAGAGTTTGAGAAGCTGGCCGAAAAGGCTAATGCGCGATAATTCTTTGAGAAGATACGACAGCTTAAGGAAAGTTTCTTGACCGGAGTAGACTCTTGTAAGACACAGAAAAGCGATCCTGTAACGGATGCCCAGAGTGTATTGATTTTATGGAGGAAACACTTCTCCAACCTGCTGAACAGCAGTAACAATGAAACACAAGATAATAGTCAACCCGAAATCCCAATCGAAGACGATGGAAAAGTCGTTCCACTACTCGACTAAGGCGAAGTTCGAATAACAATCGCCCGCTTAAAACACAACAAAGTGGCGGGAAGCGATGGATTACCGGCCGAGCTATTCAAATGCGGCCGTGAAGAACTGGTCAGATGTATGCATCAGCTTCTTTGCAGAATATGATCTGATGAAAGCATGCCTGACGATTGGAACCTAAGTGTACTCTGCCAAATCCACACAAAAGGCGATCCCACAGTCCGCGTCAACTACCGTGGAATAAGCCTTCTTAACATCGCGTATAAGGTCCTATCGAGCGTATTGTGTGAAAGACTGAAGCCCAACGTCAACAAACTGGTATCCCCGAAAAACTTATACTGTGTAAGTTGAAAGTTACGCCAGGATCGTGAAGGACTTCTTTGAGCAGTTCAATAAAAAACGACGTTCCAGACAGGGTGATTTCTTATCGTGTGACTTATTCAATTTTAAATTTATTGCCGGAGAGAATAATACGAGTGTCGGTGTACCATAGGACGATATTGACATTATCGGCCTCAAAACCCGCGCCGTGAGTTCTGCTTTCTCCAGACTCAATAAACAAGCAAAGCGAATGGGTCTGGCGACGAACGAGGACATGGCGAAATATCTCCTGTCACCAAACTAACAGTTATCGCATTCGCGACTTGGCTTTCACGTCACTGTTGACAGCCACAACTTTGAGGGACCAGCATTAACATCCATAATACTGTCAGCCTTGAAATCTTTCGTTGAATGAAAACCATTCTGTTATATGGCGCAGAAGCGTGGACGACGTCAACATCTGAAGAGATGGTCTTGAGAGTCTTCGAGAGAAAAGTTTTGCGAACGATTAGTGGTCAGCGGCGAATACTGCAGGCTATGTAACGATGGGTTGTACGATACGATGATATTGTCATAGTTTAGCGAATCAGTCGGCTACGCTTTCTACGTTATGACGTTCGAATCGATGAAAGCACTCCACGCTGGTGGAAGCAGATGAAGAGGAAAACCTCCACTCCGTTGAAAGGAACAGGTGGAGAGTGCTCTGGCCTCACTTGGTATTTAAAACTGACGCCAAACAGCGAGAAAAAGGGATGAATGCCGCGCTAATATTGATTCGGCTATAATCGCGTAAGTGGTGCCAACCATAATTAAGAAGAAGAATACTAATTAAAGAGACCCGATACATAGAAAATTTGCGTAACCGGAGATAAATTATTTTTTAAATTATTTATTTACTGTATAATTATTTAATCATTCAGGTGAATTAAATACTTTTCAGAGAGTTAAATTCTTAAATAAATAATTGATAAATACAAATGATTTATATAGATTAAAAAATATTTTAATGTTTGTTACTCTTAAAAAGTTTCATTTTCATAACGGAACAAACAATTTTTTTTTTGGTTTTTCAAAAGTTTTCTTGCATTCTTTTATAGTTTATTTTGTTGTATTTTGAAAATATTATTTTTTTAATATATAGAAAAAAATTTCGATTTAATTTCGATTAGAATTAATATATATTGTATGTATGTTACATATGTATATGTATATTTTGCCACAAACCTGTCACGACAAATTTGCGAAACGTTTTAATGCAGTAATTAACCTTTTTCAACCTCTGCTCCCTTTTATAATGGTGTAGAGCAACGTATTTCATATTTTTTTACTTAACTGTAGCAAAAAAAGAAAGAAAATATGATAATACAGTATTTTCAACGACTGCAGTTAACCTTTTCCAACGTTAAGGCATTAATTAATTAGGAATTTTTCAAATTTTCTGTCTTAAAAAAATCAAATAAATTCAAACAGAAAATCAAAATCAACGCCTCTTGACCTTAATAAATCGTTTTCATTATGCACTTGATGGTAACACAAATCAAAAAAGTGAGAAATAAAAAATATATTGTCGGACCGGAAATGACCTCCACGCTCAAAAGCTTAGAACCTTAGAATGTGATGTTTACATTTACATACATATATACTCGTAAATATATATAATATGTATGCAATATGTACATTTCTATGTATGTATTTTGCATATAAATTTTGCCTCAAAACTCACACTCCATTGATAAGCATCGCATGGCAAGGAGGAAGAGCGCAACAAAGCATTAAACCGTAAAAGTTTTGAATGAATTTGACTGACGCTACACCGGCGTTGATGTGTAAATTTAGTATACACTACAGTTGTTTTCAAACTATCGTCTAAAAGTTGTATTTTTTCCATTGGAATTTATTGCCTACGCTTTGCTCATTGAATCACAGTTGAAAGTTTTGCGCTCTGCAATATTCAATAGTCTCTCTACTGTGTACTTAACGTCTCTTCTCTCTCTTTCTCTTTTTTATAGCTCAAATATTTTTCATTTCTTGTGCGCTCAATTTCTCCACATTCGTTGCTGAAACGATGACGTTGTTAACATGCTTCCGGCGCGCCTCACTTGACTAGCGATCGGCTTACTCCGACAAATGTGAGTGAGATTGTTGCTCATGGCTGACTAGCCATTTGTTGCAATCGGAGTCGTTGGAGCTTTGCTTGTTACGTCATTAACTATGTGCGCTTATTAGCCGCTCTCTTTTTGTTGTAGTGTTTTTATTAGTTTTCTTCAGCTCGTTGTGGCTTTATGGCTTCATGGTTTTCATGGCGCACAGTGGGGTTTACTGGGATTTTCACTTGACAAAATGTGTTTCCAAATAATATTTGAGTATGTTTTGTGGAAAAGTTCAAGTTTTCATTCTTACTCTTAAGTTAGACACCTGCCAATTGATCTCTCCACGAACCGAAGTACTGAAGAGAAAGTGAGAGTTGACTTTTGACACGGGTTGAATTGGTTGACTCTAGTGTGTCTTTCATAGATGGCATTATGTTCAAATATACTGAATATGACCAAGTTTGAGGAACATCGTTTTTCTCTTCGCAAATTGAAATAGCCGTTTTGGCTTTTTATCTATTACTGCTGTGAAGGTCCTAAAGCTTCTCTTTTCTAATTAAGATTGTGCTCTGTGTACCATACGCTGGTAATTATAGAAAACGTGTCCTTGTCTTCCAACCAATGAAGGCGTGCGGCAACAACAAGGGTAGGCTCCATTAATAATCCTAGTAGCAGCCTGAAGTCTGACCTCTTTTCGGCTGAAAAAAAATAGTATGCATCCCATCATATATTATATTGGTTAAGCTCGCACAAGAAACGATCATTCTTAGCCAGGCGAACAAACTTTGAGAACGAGCAAAAGTTCATAATTAGATCTTGTTATGAAACGACACTCTCTTTAGCTAGTCCATCAGAAATCTCCTTGCTTTCGTTGTCGATGTGTCTTGACATACAGCAGAACAGTGAACAGTTCGTTTAACAGCCGTTCCATTGATCGCTGTCTTCCATATTAAAACCATCGTATGAAAATTAGCTCTTTATGGTTTTTGGCTATCGACGTCTATGGTTTTCGTCTATCTCCTTCTATGTGGCTTTACTCAATAGGAAGGAGTTTTCTCTTACCATTGCTTTCTTAATGAAAATTATATTGAGCTTTCTTCAGAGGGAAAATGTAAGAGTGTCCAAGAAAACGTTGTATCTACTACAATATTAATGATAGTTTCTTCAGCCAGGAGTACAAAACAATTGGGGCTGAGCTGAAATTAAACAGTGATAGCAATTTATTCGAAGCCGCCCCGAACGGCTAATGGATTTTAATGTGGTGCACTTATTTTGTACCAGAAATAAACTCGAAGGGCTAGGCCCCTTATTGCTAAGGACGATCACAATTAGGATTGGGTGAGAACTCGAACCCATGACATGATAGATATATTAACAACAACACAAGAAATATATTCTATTATTCCATAATACGGCACACTGTCGCTTAATGTCTCATGACAATTCACTCGCTCACAATTGCCGTAATTCCAACCATTGCCGATCACCTATCAACGATCAATTGTTGCACTGTTGCTTTTTCTGCTTCAACTAACATTATTGCTATTGCTCTTTGGTTACTGTTGCACATTGATTTGGTTAGTGTTACACATTTTTGCAGAATAACATTGCTACATTGCAGCTAAAAGTTGTTGTTTTTATTGCTACTGAAGTGGTTATTTCAAACCAGTTTTCCTTTGCTCTAACAAAATATTTTTATTGTGTGTCTAAAGAACTTCAGAGCATAGAGAATAATACACCTGTTTGTGACGCTCTCGGCAGGCTCTCGTCGAACCGAGCTTACATTGTAAGTGGCGCTCAGTGTGCAATCTAATCACTTTGGTGAGACGGCATTAGGTCGTTTTGGTTGATGGCGCCAAGTTTGGTGAGCCCGGAATTGCTCTCGTCGCTATTCGCAATTCTCTACACAGTTCGCCGTTAGCTGCGCAAATTTGGTATTTTCAAGTTAATATCGCACTCGTCGAGACTTATCAACGGCAGTAAACAATTGTCAGTCAGCACTAGTGCAATGTTCTACGCTTGCCAGTGCCCAAATCGAATTATTCGAATGTTAACTTGGTTTTGAAAGTAAAATTAATCGAACTTTTGTTGTTTACCGTCATGCGTGTGGCAGTGTGCATTGCTTTTAATTACAGAAAATATTTGTAAAATTTTCGAATGAGTGGCGGTTAAAAATAACTTGTTCAAACATATCATTCGCTGCAGTGGTGACTGAAATAAAGTATTAAAAGTGTTGCAAATTTGTTGAAAAAAAGGGAAAAGCATACAATAAATTATTACTGTGATGCAAAAACTAACTTATTTAGTTTTTCGATTAAAAACAAATAGTTTAAAATAACATAAAATAATATAATATAAAATAATATAACATAACATACTAATAAATAAAAAAATGAAAAAAATATAATAAAAAAACAAAGTAAAGTACAATAAAATACAAAAGAAACATTATAAGAAAAAAATTAAATAAAAAAATTACAAATTTTAATGTATAAAAAATAAAATAGAAGGAATTAAAAAAATTAAAAAAACAAAAAAATTACAATTTACTTTAATATAGATTAAAAGAAATAAAACAGAAAAAAATAAAATAATACAAAACGAAGCAAAATAAAATAAATTAAGATATAATAAAATAAAAAGAAATTACACAATAATAAAAATTAAAAAAAAAATAGATTGATTTAAAGTTAATTAAATTAAATAAAATAAATTAAAATAAAATAAAACAATTTAATTAAAATAAAGTAAAATAAAATAATTGAATTAAAAATGAAATAAAAAAATCAAAATAAAATACAATTGAATAAAACAAATTAAAGCTAAATAAAATAAAGTAAAATTAAATAAATTAAAGAAGTAAGTTAAAAAAGATGAAAAAAAAATAAATAAAAAAATAAAATAAAATGAAATAAAATAAAATAAAAAAAAAAATAAAAAAAAATTAAATAAAATAAAATAAAATAAAATAAAATAAAATAAAATAAAATAAAATAAAATAAAATAAAATAAAATAAAATAAAATAAAATAAAATAAAAAAAAGTAAAATAAAATAAAATAAAGTAAAATGAATAAATAAATTAAATATAAGAGTAAGGATGGAGGATGGGGGCTAAACATTGAAGTACAACATATTTTTCCAAATTCTTTCTAAATTATAGCTTCTCTGAGATTTAAGAGTGTTTAAATTCAATGCAAATATATGTTTATTCATTTGTTCGAAAAATAAAAAAAAATTCTCTCTTCTTCACTGAAGATTAACATGCGTCTTAAACAAATTTTGACCAACAACAATGTAAATATTTACCTAGCAATTAGTAAGTTATTTTTGGGAGCTACATTATTTTCTATTTATTTATAATTTTTTTTACTTTTTGTTTGAGTCAGCAAACACTTTGTTCCGGTAACTAATATGAAATACTGAGAAAGCATGTCTCACTAATTGTTATTTTAAATATTCTGGATTGGTGGTGAGAAAAACTTGTTCTAGCAGAAAATGAAAGTAAACAAATGAATAATGAATATTTTAAAATTTTCGTTGTTTTATATATAATTTGTTTTTTTTTTGTTTGTTTTATTTTTTAATTTTTTTTTGCTTTATGTGTGAGAAATAAATATTTATATATTGCCCACAGCGGGTTCGTAGCTTAAGTCTTTTGTTCTTGGTGTTACGGGAATATTGTTGGGTGCGCATTCTGGTTTTGAAAATTGTTTAATCGTTTAAAAAATTGTATGAATCAAAATAACGGGCGAAAAATTCTTTGTTGCTAAAAATAGAGATATTAGTTAAAGAAATTAAATATATTCTTAGCTGCAGGCTAATTAAAAATGTCAGGATAGTTTTCCAATGTGCAGGTAATTTTTTTTATTTAAAGAAGTGGGCGAAACTTATTTTTAAATGGATAATTGTGGATAATTATTTCAAAGTGAAGCTGTTTAACTTTTTTCATATTTGCTTGTATTTGAAATTTTTATATAATATATATATTTTTTTTTGGTATTAATGTAATGTAATTTTTTCTATTTACATGCGTTGTTGTTTATTTTTAGTCAGTTATACATAACTTCAGTCGCGAAATTTTTTCTTGTTAAATAAAATACCTGGGCCTAAAGCTAATTTATTTAAGGTAGCCCAAATAAGAAAAAAAACATTATCTAATTATTCGTCTCAGCAGGCTTTGGGCTTTCTTTTTCAAGCTAAAAATAATTGCATTTTAGTTACTTTTTTTTTATTAATTGTATCTTTCCATTTAGACTAGGCCAAAAGTTTGCACTAAATAAGTAAATGAAGGAAATGAGCAATAATTATGAATTGAAAGTGAAAAATACATATATATTTTACAAAAAAAGCAATGAGCTTGCCAAATTACTACAGGCTGAGTGAAAAATACAATGACTGAAAATCGAAAAAAAATTTACAATGAAAATTTTTTAATTTGAAATTAAATGTAAATACATGAAAAAACAATATGAACCAAAAAAATTGTTAAATGGAGTTTAAAAATTATAAGTGTAAATAAAAAATAAAAACAAATAAAAAATTGGGGGATTACACAAAACAACCACGCTGTCATCGTCATAGACAGCTAAAAATACAAAAACAACAACAACGGCAATTGCTGTAATAGTCAACCAGGCAGTTTGGCACAATTGGCGCATGCGCGCTGTTGCTTAAATTTAACGGTGCTAAAGTTTAACGTGGTGTGTTGAAAAAAAATACAACAAAACAAAACAAAAAAACTAAATTTAAAGTGCTAAATATAATATGAAAAGTAGTGCAAACTATATAGAAAAGAATAAGTGACAACATTCAAAAGCGTAGAAAAAGGAAAATAAAATTAAAAACAAAATTATAAAAATATAAAAAATAAATAATTTTAGCAACTGTGCAATTTAAATACTTATTTTAAGTGGTGTTAACTAAAATAAAGGCAAAAAATAATTATATACAAATTTATATGTATTTTATATGTATTTATAAAAGGAAAAAAGAAGAAAAGTGACATTAAACTAGAGTGGAAACCCTTTTGTTTGTATCTATTAACTGTTTCAATTCTTCGCTCTTATCCTTTCTTATCTATTTTCTTCTCGGCAAGCCTCTATTGTCAACTGTCATTATTTTGGTGCAGTAAATAACCGCAAAAGCAAAAAAAACTGAAAGTGTATCAAAAAAAAATAAAAAAATAATAATAATAATAAAAATAAAAAATAACAGAAAGCACTGTAAATCATAGTGCAAGTCCGACACAGCTGAGCGAAAAAGTTTACAAACCAGCAACGAAACATTGAACAATTTTTTTTCGGGTGCTCGAGCATTCCAAGTGACCAGCGTAGATTTTGCCTTAAGCTTAGTAGTGGCACTCAAATTTTGTCTGTACGTGAAAAGGTAGCAAGAGTGCGCTTAAACAAATCTATTTTTGCGAAATAGACAGAAATACTAATGTTTTTTTTTTCTTTCAAAAAATTACTGTCATTTTAAGTGAAAAGTTTTAATAATATGCATTGTATAAAAATGAAGTAAAAAGTAAAAGAAAAACGCAAATACTTTAAATATATGTGTTTATGAAATTGAAAGCGAAAATTGTAAAAAATTAAAAAAAAAATTGCAAAAAAAATAAATTTAAGTAAAATATAAATAAATAAACGAAATAAAAAAAATCCATCTAAGCACTTAAAAAGAAAACAATCGAAAAAAAAACAAAAAACTACCAAATATCAACACAACATTGACTTACGTGCCCCCCAAACGAACCGTTCGCACACTTGCCGCCGCACTGCCAGTGCAAAGCAGCTTCGCTGAGCGCGCGCACGTGCCTTCTTCACTCAATGTAATCATCGGCGCTTCGTTTCTCGTCTACTGTTAGCGTCTGCTAACTGTTTAGTGTTTATTTGTATTTTTTTGCATGGTGCTTTTTATTGCTCACTTCTGCTGCTGCTGCTGCTGTTGCTGCTGATTCGCTGTTGCATGCAATTGCTCTTGCATTAGATGCCTGATTTTTTTTTTTTTGTTTTTGGCAGTAATAAACTCAAGCAAGAAAAGCTGACGAAAAAAAAGTTTTGGAGAATAACCGTTACTGCTCGAAGAAGTAAAACAGCGAATTGTTAAAGTGCAGGTGAGTTCAAGTTTGTTGCTTAAGCTTTTTCATATTTTTTTCTTGCACACCACTTATTGAAGACGTACTTCTACATGTAAATATGTATATATGTACATATGTATGTATGAACATGCACTTAAGTATTGTTGTGCAAATGTAATAAATAGACACGAGTAAACATGCTTCGCTTTGGCAGTCGCTATTTTTAACGGTTTTTTTTTATATTTGATACATAAAAAACATTTCAGTTTCTATTGCAATTTGTCAGCGCAGTCTGTAGAAGACACGAGTAAATAGATATTGATATACAAAATATTTGTTGATATGTTAGTATGTGCTTAATATGACAGACTGCTTTAGTCTTTAGTAGTGTTGTTGGTTTCATGTTGTATTACTATTGTATATAAAATACTAGAGTTTGCATGGATTTTTCAGCTGATTTTAATAAGATTTTTGTCCGGTTTTTACATTATTTTTTTTAACAGAACTTATGAAATCTTTTGAAAAATGCTCAAAAAAGAATGCAAAGTTTTCCATATATATATGGGACTAGAAAAAGAGCTTTCTATGTTTAAAATTTTAGCAACTCGAACCTTAAATATGATTCTTATAGACGGATGAGTCCCAAAAAAAAAAAAAAAAATTCCGCCAAGCAGTGACATAGGAAAAGAGACATATATATATGCTTCAGAGACTTAAAAAATCATTTTTTTTAAATCTATTCCAAAACCATACAAGAATGTGTCTTTACAATTTCAGAAAATTTCAGTGGCCAAATCTAACATATTTTCAAAGCTAGAACAGTTTTAGTGGCCGTCGAACAGGTTCGCTTGCTCGGGCAGAACTTTTGAGCGCGTCTTCTCGAGTTTTGATTTTCAAAAGTCTTGGAAAACGGTGCCGGTGATAGAAAAAAAAAATATATATATGTCCGAGCGAAAAAAATCAGAGTGATCTAGTTTCAATATTAAACTAACTTCTACTTGAACTAAAAAATTTGAACAAAAGTAGTATTTGAAAAATATTTTTTTTAATTTAAAGTAGTTTTTTTTTCAAACTTGAAAAAATTATGGAATTCTATAATTTCTTCAATAATTTTTTAGTCCATATAGAAGGGACACTCATAAAAATTTAAAAATAGTTCAGTTCGACTGTTTAGATGCATCGCGCGACCTATTGTACCAGCACCGTTTCACTAATTCACACTGCAGCCGCTTCAGAAAACTCATCACAAAATGGAAAGTTTCAATATTTTTCGATACTAAAAATTGTTTTTGGACACCTAAATATTGTACATTGTTGCCTGAAAATTTCGTTTACCGCAATAATTTTCTTCTCTTTAAAAAAAATTGCTGAAAAAATGCTTATTTTCGGCTTTTAATGGACATGCCTTAAGCAAAATCATCGACGTGCTTGCGACGTTAATTTAGGGAAAAAACTGGCTCCACATCAAATTTCATGTAAATATATATATATATATAATTGGCGCTTTGTAACCCCGATTTTCCGCCCAGCTCCTTCTCCAATTTGTGGTTTTGCGTCTTGATTTTTTCCCACACAAATGGAGGGATCCATGGTTTATACTAGGCCGCCTCCGAACGGCTGATGGTTTTTTATTTTTTTGTCAGAAATAGACTCGGAGGTGTTGACATTCCCTGCCGATGAGCGACCGCATTTAGAAACTTTGACTTAATTTTTTATTTAAATTAATTTTCTTTAACTTTTGAATGTTAGTCGCACAGAAATTTGAACCCGAGCCTTCCGAGTGGCAGTACGCAACGCTAACCACTCAGCTACCACGGCCGCATGTAAATGGAACGATGAAAATTTGAATTCTATTTTACGGGCAGATCGGTTTCAGGTTTACTCCTTTTTTACCGAATGCATACGTCAAACAATGAAGATACCCTCCAAGTTTCAGATCCCTACAATGAGTGGTTTAGGCTGTGGGTTTCTCCAACAATCATTTGGGTGAAAGATTATTATATATATATAGATATAAATAAACATATTTAGAAAATGTGATTTGAATGTCTAGATGAAATTCTTAAAGTAATTTTTTTTTTGACGAAAATTAATCATTAACTGTGGTCAAAAAATTAAGTTCACCACGAGAAAATATATTTCGTCTCAATTGCTTTTGAGTTAGTTTCGTATAGTGTTATATAGCTTTTTATTGCTGTACCTTCCTCTTTTTCTTACTACTGCCGCAAATATCTTGGAGTAAATAATAGCATTCCAATCGTTCTTTTACCTCAGTTCGGTGCCGTTTGGAAACATCGAGTAGAGGGATCTTTTTTGATACTGACAGAACCGCATCAGAGGTTAAGGTTTACTAATGTCAGTGCCATTCATTATTGTATTTTATGTATTAGACAGTCTGTGGGCCCCTCTTTGTGCATTGTGCAGAGCACATTTTGATATTCTCCCATTCCACCATATTTTCCAAAGGATCCGAGGCATAGAGTGGCTCACAGCCAAAGTGATGCAGCTATGTAAGAACTTTCGAACTTTCCAATAGTCGGATGACGGCACGATTACACTTAGAAAATATAATTTTTTAATGTTGTTCAGACCAGGTTTCGAATTCTGCCCTTCCGAACGGTAGAAGGCTATAGACAATGTTAACCATTCGGCTATTGCAATGGTCTCATAACTTCCGAAACCTACGGTTGATGTTCACCTGTAATTTGTGTTGGGCGCTGTCATGAACTGTCACTGCTTACTAGCACATTCGCTGCTTGTGAATGGTGGAATTTTCGTTGTGGGAGATTTGAGCTGAGAAATTTAGAACTCTGACTGCATCATTTGCTGCATAAGTTTTGTTTCGGCATCGATAAGTGCAAATTATTGATTTCTCTGGTCTTATGATGGGGTGACGTGAATTCTAACTCAAAGTGGCTTAAACCTGTTCATGTACGAAATGTTGAACTAGCCAGTATTTGTGCTCGTGAATTTCAGCATAGTAGCACGCACCGTTAACCCCTCGGCTGTTGCTGCCTGCTCGAGGAAGACACGAGGACATTTTTGAACGTAACAGCATTTTTCTCGACCTCTACGAAAATCACAATAAGCAACTGGTTTCAATGGCAAGTCAAACCAGCTGAAGCGCCTTACAAAGAACCATGGATGTTCATTTTAGGGTTATCTAAGATTGACGTACAGAACGTTAACGTCTTTTGAGAAGTTCACGAAGAGAGCTATAATATCCAATTACGAAGCCTCTTCCAGTTTTTTGTACAACGAAACTCCAAAATATCTAGGACGAGCTCTAGATAAGACCGAACTGAAGCAGAGGATGTGATCTAACGTGTCACTAAGGTCTTCCTCACTACATTCACTACATTTATCTCCTACTATTAATTCACATTCTGTGAGCTCTCATTAGGACAACAACTGTACTGCAGTAAGCATGTCGTTAATACGTTCATGTCAATGTGATACTCGGCAGCTGGCGCCTTGTTAAAGTACAAGGCCGTATTTTGACATCTGTCAATCTCGTCCTTCGAACCAAGTACGTCTTGGTTCAGTTAAAAGTCAGGCATTTATGAAAATTCATCGTTTAACAACCACACAGTACGCTAAACTTGTTAAAACTTGTTGCAGAAATGGCGATGCAAACTTGGCCACGTTTCGTGCCTTAAGAGTAGATTTTTGTGTACAACATCGTCTAACTACTCAAGCAATTGGTGAAATTACAACGAAATATTAAAAAACTGGATACGTCGCAGATGTTGTAAGGCTAGTCCATCCTCAAATATTGCCACTGTAAGTGCCAATCTCTCGACGTTCTCAAAAGCTGAGACTTTTACGTCACTTTAGGGCGTGTTTTGCACTTGTACTAACATCTAAATTCATATAAAAGCCTAGTTCAGTGAACAACTACAGCCTTTTGACCATTTACAAGGCTCTAAATGCTTGAACAACAAGCACTGGATGCTAATTTTTCGAACAAAATTTTTTTTTAATGATGAATAAAGTTTCTCACTCGGGGGATACGTAAATAAATTATCGCACTGAGAGCTCCGAAAAACCGCAAATAGTTGAAGAGAGGTCATTACATCCAAAAAATCGTATTCTCTTTTTCACCGAGATCACGCGATTCGACACCGTTGGATTATTTTTTATGTGAGGCTACGCGAGAGACCATGTTTATGCGGACAAAATCTTAACTCTTGAACACTTGAGAAACAACATTCATCGAGTTAAGGCTGAGATACCGCTCAATGTGTGCAAAAAGTGGTTGAAAGTTAGCTTAAATGGAATGAAATTTTGCAAAAATCCGCGAGACGGTTCTAATTGTGATAATGATTATGTGTATTAAAAGCTTCAAGGGAGGATTCTTTGATAAAGATAATATCGGTTTATTTCACATATAAAAACTTTTATGCGAAATTTAATTATGTAAAACAATTGAAGGTAATTTTACAGTTTATTTAATTATAACACAATAAACATACAAGAAATGTGCTCATTTTTATTTATATCATTATATTTTCGCATAATTTTGTTTCATTAATTATAAAATATATTTATATTTTTTGCTCTTTAAACGCATACTCTATTTATCAACAATGGACAACTGCTTACTCAAATTTATTTGCATAAAATAATAATTACAAAAAGAAAAAGCGCACAATATCAGCGCAAGGTCAAAAGGCCGAATTCAAAAATATTGTATAATTGAGTGAAAAATAAGTAAAAAAAAAATGAAGTGAATAATAGAATAAAACTGCTTGAGTTGCCCGTTCCCTGACTTTTGGCATTTTCATCAACAAGGCAATAACTCAAAGTTTATAAGCTTAAGTAAAATAATGTTATAAATAAAACAAAAAAGGCAAAAGCAAATTCAAAATTAACTTAATATCAGCATGCAAAATGCGCACTGAGTCACTGGCTATCAGTTACTTATTAAGAGGCTGCCTCGATTGCATTGTACAGTACTTGTATTTGGAGCGTTCCCTGCTACAAGTACAAACACCTTTATATATTCAATTTATATAAGGCGCCTTTGGAACACA